AAATAATCGAATATTTTTTTAAAAAGAAGTTATTTAATCTGGAAATTTTTTTTCAATCAACATCTACATCATCATCGCTATGATTGTAATAATGTTAGTCCAATATAGTCACAACATATCAATACATAATGTGTCTCTCTCTCTTTCTCTGCCATGTTTGTATGTATCAACTCACATGTACAGACATACACTCACCTACTCATGTGTATAGTGTGAGGAAAATGTACATGTTGGTATGATTATTATTGATTCAATGCTGCCTTATCCTATTGGAGAAAAGACGGAAAACGAGAGAGAGAGTGAGGGAGGAGCGATGAACACACACACAATTGAAGAGAGAGAGACACTCACGCATTTTCTCTAAGGTACACACACTACACAAGCAGAACCACACAACTCATAAAAATTACATGAAAATCTCACAGAATGATTTACGTCTGTGTAATAATATCAAATATATGTATTTATAGACATAAGAGAATGTGGAACTAGGGAGAATAAACATGGTGTGTATTGCAGCATTATTGTTTCAATCTCAGCTTTTTATTCTCTCCTCTCTTCTCTTTATGAATATAGAAGAATATACGAAAGATGAAAAAAAACAAAACACAACAATTTACAATTAAAATCAAGCCGGAAATTGTAGTTTTTTTCACGAAGCATAATGTATATGTGTATAGATAGATAGTCTACAGAGGAGTTCTTGTTATTGCTGTTGTAAAAAATATTAAAATAGTTAGAATTTATGATAATTGAATATATAGAATGAAGAAAAAATAATAATCATAATGATAAGATAGAGAATCTAAGATTAATGAACTGGCTATATTAATTCAATGAATACCGTTTTCATAGTAGAGATTTTATAGTTATGAGAAGAAAGCGAGCAAGTAAAGCAAGTCAAGCAACAGAATGATGGTGGACACAATGTGGTGTGTATGTGGGTGTGCAGATCTGGGTAATGCGAAGATGATGATGATGATGATGATGATGATGATGATGATGATGATGATGATGATGATGATGATGATGATGATGATGATGATGATGATGATGATGATGATGATGATGATGATGATGATGATGATGATGATGATGATGATGATGATGATGATGATGGTGATGATGATGATGATGATGATGATGATGATGATGATGATGATGATGATGATATGATGGATGATGATGATGATGATGATGATGATGATGATGATGATGATGATGATGATGATGATGATGATGATGATGATGATGATGATGATGATGATGATGATGATGATGATGATGATGATGATGACTGATGATGATGATGATGATGATGATGATGATGATGATGATGATGTTGATGATGATGATGATGATGATGATGATGATGATGATGATGATGATGATGATGATGATGATGATGATGATGATGATGATGATGATAGATGATGATGATGATGATGATGATGATGATGATGATGATGTGATGATGATGATGATGATGATGATGATGATGATGATGATGATGATGATGATGATGATGATGATGTATGATGATGATGATGATGATGATGATGATGATGTATGATGATGATGATGATGATGATGATGATGATGATGATGATGATGATGATGATGATGATGATGATGATGATGATGATGATGATGATGATGATGATGATGATGATGATGATGATGATGATGATGATGATGATGATGATGATGATGATGATGATGATGATGATGATGATGATGATGATTGATGATGATGATGATGATGATGATGATGATGATGATGATTGATGATGATGATGATGATGATGATGATGATGATGATGATGATGATGATGATGATGATGATGATGATGATGATGATGATGATGATGATGATGATGATGATGATGATGATGATGATGATGATGATGATGATGATGATGATGATGATGATGATGATGATGATGATGATGATGATGATGATGATGATGATGATGATGATGATGATGATGATGATGATGATGATGATGATGATTGATGATGATGATGATGATGATGATGATGATGATGATGATGATGATGATGATGATGATGATGATGATGATGATGATGATGATGATGATGATGAATGATGATGATGATGATGATGATGATGAATGATGATGATGATGATGATGATGATGATGATGAGATGATGATGATGATGATGATGATGAATGATGATGAATGATGATGATGATGATGATGATGATGATGATGATGATGATGATGATGATGATGATGATGATGATGATGATGATTGATGATGATGATGATGATGATGATGATGATGATGATGATGATGATGATGATGATGATGATGATGATGATGATGATGATGATGATGATGATGATGATGATGATGATGATGATGATGATGATGATGATGATGATGATGATGATGATGATGATGATGATGATGATGATGATGATGATGATGATGATGATTGATGATGATGATGATGATGATGATGATGATGATGATGATGATGATGATGATGATGATGATGATGATGATGATGATGATGATGATGATGATGATGATGATGATGATGATGATGATGATGATGATGATGATGATGATGATGATGATGATGATGATGATGATGATGATGATGATGATGATGATGATGATGATGATGATGATGATGATGATGATGATGATGATGATGATGATGATGATGATGATGATGATGATGATGATGATGATGATGATGATGATGATGATGATGATGATGATCATGTGTTTAAATGATTCAGAGTTCCTTTGTTGTAATATGAAAAAGGGATATATACTGACTGAATAAATCAAAGGGTTTCTTAGCGGAATAATATTTTTTGTGGGACGGGGTTGCCAACTCCATGTCCAATCATCCTCCTATGTCCATGGCTTGGGACTGGCAGTAACCTCTAGAAGTGCTTCGGGCGGGTCGGAATAGCCAGGGCTGCATTTGTACAATTGATAAACATCTGGAACTCAAAACAACTGTCAACAAACACCAAAATCAGAATTTTCAATACAAATGTCAAGACAGTTCTACTGTATGGGGCGGAAACTTGGAGAATTACAAAAGCCATCATCCACACGATACAAGTATTCATTAACGGTTGTCTACTCAACATTTACGCATTCTCTGGCCAGACACGATCAGCAACAACCTTAGACTGACCAAAGTTAAATATTAACACAGTTGGTTGCTAGCTTGGTAGTCGGACAGCTACGCATCCACTCACGACATTGAGGTTCCTGTGTTCGATTCTGACGAGCGGAGGTCGTAGGTGCTCGCTGCTAAAGAGTCCGATACTAGGACGGAATGGCTATCCAGTGGTTCCAAGTTTCTAATGATCGTTTAACAATGATTCACGAAAACAATATTCACCTTTGATATATACTATTCGAATTCGAATTGCATGTTTATTAAGAATTACAGTAATTTATCAGTTGAACAATTATCATCAGATCGCATTCATTAATGAATGAAAATATATTGGACATTGAATGAACAGATTTCACATTTTGAATCAATGCCGTTGGTGCGCACTTATCCGGCGCACACATTATATAATTGACCCTGACCTCGGATCAGACGTGATTACCCGCTGAACTTAAGCATATCACTAAGCGGAGGAAAAGAAACTAACAAGGATTCCCTTAGTAACTGCGAGTGAACAGGGATTAGCCCAACATCGAAGCCTACGGTTGTTTGATCGTGAGGCAATGTGGTGTTTAGGTTGGCTTCTGGCATTACTGCTCTTCCCCAAGTCCAGCAATGAGTACGGCTTCCCATTCTGGCCCATAGAGGGTGAAAGGCCCGTGTGACAGTTCTGCTCAGAGCTCCCCTTAGAGTCGAGTTGTTTGTGAATGCAGCCCAAAGTGGGTGGTAGACTCCATCCAAGGCTAAATACTTACACGAGTCCGATAGCAAACAAGTACCGTGAGGGAAAGTTGAAAAGTACTTTGAAGAGAGAGTAAACAGTGCGTGAAACAATTACTGATAAATATTTTCTCCTCATAAACAGAACATGTTTTCTTAAATTTTTCTGTAACTTCCTAGTTTATCTGAGTTTGTATCGGTCAATGTAACAGACACACATGCACACACGCACACACTCACATCTACAACATTGATTTGTGAATATTTCAATTTCCAATATTCTGAAGAAAAAAAAACAAGCAATCAAAACCTCGAACAAATTAATGCCTAAAACACACAAACACAAAAAAAATGCTCTCCATACCGATCAATACACAAGACAAGAATGAGCACATGCAAAACAAAAAATAAAATATATGATAGACATTATTATGATTTAAACGGTTATCATGACTTGTAAGGTCAAACAAAACATGATGAGTGTAAAAGAATAAAAGGAAAAAGGAAACGGAAATGAAGCATAACATCTCAAACTTGAACAGAATGATGTAATGTTATGGCTGCTCTCAATGTCTCTCTCTACTCTGTGTGTTCTTTTGTTTTAAATAAAGAGAAAAAAAATCAAATTTATCAATTAAAAATGACTCAGCTTTTCATAACATATTGTGTTTAAATCAACCGCTACTACTACTTCTACAACGACGACTATTATGATTGTTAATTAAATTGCTCATAGAACACGTGAACATTGATCAAAGTAAAATGTAATGGCGTTTTTTCCTCTGCTACTTCTTCTAAGTTGTTCTTCTTTTTTATTGAGAAATGAAATATAAGACACTGTGAGCATTAGAGAAAATTAGTTACACTCAATAATAAAAAAACCGTGTCATTTACACATATTTCTTTGACAAAGTTGTGTTTTAATGGAACTCTTTACAGTTTCTCATTTTGTTATATGAAAAAAAAATCACTCAGAGTTGATTGATAATAATAATAATATTTAAAGAATAAAATGTAAGGTAATTTTGTATGATATGCTTTAACTCCGCCAATAGAACCTTCGGGTCTACTGCTGGTCCCAAGCCCGGGTAAAGGAGAAAGGTTGGACATTTGGTTGGCGACCATATTCCATCAAAAACTAACTTGCCAAAAAAACGCTAACCAGAAAAACTAATTCGAACTGCGTCACAAGAAAAGTCCTCACATGGAACCCTCAAGGCAGAAGGAAAAAAGGAAGGCCAAAGAACACACTACGCAGAGAAATAGAGAAATATATGAGAAGAATGAACAAACATTGGACAGAACTGGAGAAGGAAGCCCAGGACAGAATTGGTTGGAGAAAACTGATGGGCGGCCTATGCTCCATTGGGGGTATATTACCACTCAGTTTTTCCATCAGCAACTGTTCAGTTGATCAAATCAACAACGACAAATAAACTTTATTCTGTTCTTTCTGGATAGATCAGATTCGTTCGACAGATAATATTTAGTTGCTTTATAACACAGAGTGCTTCTTATTCTGGAAGAGTGCTTCAATTCACAATCAAAATGCACAATTCCAATCAAAGCACGCAATCCAAATGAAAAGAGGAACAAATCAATATGGCTGTCGCCATCACTAAGTATCAGATTAAGCAACATAAATGCAGTTCAGAAAGAAACATAGAAACTCACTGAAGTCAGAAGAAATAGAAACTATAATAAAAATACAAATATTAACATCGTCTCAAAAAGGAGTCGAACAGACTAACAAAATGTATAACTGAAGGAATCAGTGAGCACAAATAATAAATGTATACGTGGGGGGATTTTCACAAACAAAGCCTTCAAAAATAGATCTTACATTGATCGATTCATGATTTGAAAGTAACCAAACAATCTCTACGACTGTTTTATGCAAATTACCATGTGCTCATTAGTAATCATCTTCGTGAGGGAGTTACTCCGATTTCTAGTCAGAATTTACAACCAGTGGAGTTCAATCCTGTTCGGATGAGAAGCATTGTTCATCGAAAAATGTAGATGAGGTTGCGCAAGACCGTTAAATTGATCAAAGTTAGACATTAACACTGTTAGTTGCTGACTCATTGGCCTAGAAGTTAAGCTCTCACACTCAAGATTGAAGGTCCTAGGTTCGAATCCTGCGAGTAATTGAAGTCGTGGATGCGCAATGCTGATGATTCCCATATCAGGAAGATGGCGGCCGTTCAGTGCTTCCACTTTTTTAATGGTGGTCTAACAATTCATTTAATTCGAAGCTAGACGGCAATAAATCTCACTTATCCAATGATATGCTCTTATTAAATTACGTTAGAGTCGATTTCACCGACCTCCACTCACCCGAACAAGATGGATCCGTTTGAACAGTAAAACGTTAATCGTTCAAACCATAGACTGCTACAACAACAGAAATATTTTTCACTTTGCTCAAACTAATAACATTGTGCATTCTTTTTCTCTCCATCACTAAAACATCCTTACTAGTACAATAGAAAACTTTTATGAATTTGCAAAAAAAGCAAACACCTCTATAAACTGTACAAATTAAAAAGCAAATCAATATATGACTAAATGTTGGTTTCTAAAATGTAAGTCTTAGTGACCAACTCTGCAGAAATAGATGATAAATCCCGGTGGAATGCAGAATACATAGTTCATCCTATTTGGAACTCGTCATCTGGATGTACCTGCCACATCCCACAAGTGATATTCATTCAGGAACTTAAACCGAGTACTGCTCATTACTAAGTCGTAATAGCCACTGATTTATGCAACAGGGTGAAGTTTTACTTATGTGTATTGGTACAAATAGGGAAGATTGAACCAACCAATACATAACAATTGTATGTTAACTGTCATTGAAATCTAATCAAAAATTACTGCTATTTCATGATACAAATTAAATGAGTCATCAATAATGTTATAAAAATAACCTTTCCATATTCGATTAAAAAAGAAGTCGATTGTAACGAACAGATTCATATTTTCCGCTGATAATTTTAACACACTATATCATTTAATGATTTCGGAGTTAGACATTAACACCGCTGGATGCCGGCGGCCCAGTGGTCCAGAGGTTAGGCGTTCGTTCACAAGACTGAAGGTCCCGGGTTCGAATCCTGTTAGGTGGAGGATTCGTGGATGCGCACTGTTGATGAGTAGTCCTATACCAGGACTTGACGGCCGTCCAGTGCTTCCAGGTTTTCAATGGTGGTCTAACAATGATTGATTGATGATTTCAAATGTGTAAAGGCACTATTCTCCATAACTCTAATTGAAGATTTGAATATGAACTAAAGTTTTTACAACAAGCTGATATCAACTGAAGAATTGTTTAAGAAACATGAAAGTATTCAGTGGTTGTTTTATTCTCGCTTATTGATCTTGTCCGTCACATCTTCGTGAAGAGAATCGTAGTTTTAAATCACGAAGTCAGTATTCAGTGGTTTTTGGTTTTAAATTCAATGAATTTGTGAATTGAAATATTGAATTGATAAATTATTATAAACAAATGAAATTGAGAATTCTGTGTTCATCCTTTTTACACATTTGAAATCATCAATCAATCATTGTTAGACCACCATTAGAAACCTGCAAGCATTGGAAGGCCGTTTCATCCTGTTATGGGACTATTCAGCACTGCGTATTCACGACTCCTGCAAGCCGCAAGATTCCAACCCGGGACCTTCGGTCTTGTGTGCGAACGCCTAACCATCGGACCACTCGGCCGGCATCCAAAAGTGTTAATGTCTGACTCTGATTGATCTACGGATTTTGCGCGACCTCACTGTTGAGATAGCCAATCGAGAAGCCACCCACACACATTGTTGGCTGATGAACTTATCGATTAAATGCTTAAATATTTCAAGGGCAGTCGATTGATGAACTATTTGATTATTGTTCATGATGAACTGTTTGATTAATGTTCAAATATTTTGACGACAATATCGATTATATGTATAATTGTATAAATACGTATGTTTGATTGTATATTTTTGATTCTGTTAATAAGTGTTCTCCAACGTCATCCGTCTTCTTATTTTTGAACGGTGTGAGTCTAACGTTCGGTGTTGTCATTTGTACAGTGGTTTGGCGTTACTCAAGTAGAGAACATAAAACTCACCCATTTGTCTTTGGTAGTTAATGCCTACATCCGACAGGGTTGAACTCCATTGGTCACTTATTCTCAACTAGAACTTCGAGAAGTTCCTCACGAAGCTAGTCACTACTAGTGAGCACTGTTACGATATTTTCAGGCAGAGTTTTGGAGATTTGTGTTTTTACATATTTGAAATCATCAATCATCCTTTATCAACTAGTTTTCGTGTTATTCATTTGTTCAAGTCAGCTCATTGAATACACTGACAAAATATGCATTATATGAGATATTTGAATGTCATATATAATGAACTGTATTTTCAGTGAAAATGAGTTCATCGAAAACTGATTAGCAAATTCTGATTACAATTTTGAGTTACATATTTTACATATAGGAAGATTATGTTAGTTTAAATTTGTATGATTTCAATTTTTTACTCATTTTTTGAAAATTTTATATTTTTTTTTTGAGGATGATCATTTACTTCAGTGTTGGTCAATTAATTTGAAATGTTAATTTTTTCAGAAACTTTTTCCACAATTAAGATCAAATCATCTACAATCCTGGTCTCAATTTTTTACGCCAAGTAAATGAATGACTTTTCGGAATTACGTATTAAGGGATTTCATTTCCATTGACTTGTTTCTGAAAACTTCAATGATTTTCCTGTTGGGGACGTTAGATCTCCAGTACTCACTTGACAAAGGTCCTTATTTGGGATTTCATGTTTTTGAGCATAGGCTGATCAGTTAACCTTGAGATTATATTTCCCGCCAGGAAAACCCCTAACCGTTATTGGTTGATGCATTATTTTAGTGCGCTATTTTTGTGCCTCTCTCAAGGACGTTTCTATCATGTATAAATAAACTCGGTTTGTGTGCTTATCAACTTTGTTTTTTCTGGGTGCTTGTATACAATTTCCATGATACGATATTCTATGTTTACAAATCAGAATAAGTAATAGTGGAATGATGCATTTATTTTAGTTTATAGACTCATGTTTAACAAGTCTTTTTTGATTATTTTTAAATAAACAACGATTTGTATTGAATAAAATGCAAATAAACCTTCTTACTACAACAATTATCTATAGTTCTACTTCACTAATTATTTTCAGATTGAATTAAAACAAAAACTTCAGATTTACAGTATACGATTGTGTAGTTTTGTGAGTTTCATTGAAATCACAAATCGATCAATGTTAAACAACGACCGGAAGCCTGAAAGCATTGAAATGATATTTTATCCTGATATGAGACTCATTCAACAGAAGAACCTGGACTCATGACTTTCACTCTCACGCACAAACTTTTAACCTCTTGACCATTGGTCTGGCATCTAACAATGTTGATGTCTAACTTGAATAATTCCACGATACTGCGCAACCATCGTCTATTTTCTTCATTGGGTAGGTAACTAACTCATACCCAACCGGAAGTCCCGGGTTCAACGCAAACGTCCGGGAGTTGCGGATGCGCATTTCTGGGGCCCATACTAGGACGACGAATAACGGTGGTCTAACAATGACTGACTTATCATTTCAATGAAATTATTTAATAACCGGATTAGTTTACTATTTATATTCATCGGCTTGTAAGCTTTCAATCAGCTGTTTAACTAATACTATATATTTTGCAATTACTTAATTATTACAAAAAAATTAGTCAAAGTTTCTCCTCCTGTATCGTGATTCAATAGAACATTTATGTAAACTTAAATGTGTTTCAGTTACATTGAAGTTACATCAAAAAGAGACGTTTGTGATTGGTTCCGTTTTATTAGATCAAATTGAATAATAAGAATTATCTTCACTACAGTTCACGATTACTCTTTATCACTCAAACCCTATCATTGGTCAAAGTATAGAACGTTGGCACAAAAACTCAAATGTATGCTGAGCTAATCGACCAAGAGTTTTCCAAGACATTTGAAGAATAATTATAGTGCTTTAATAGTAGTTTATTGAGTATATAAAAATTACCTTTTGATAAATCATTTAAGTCACTAAATCATAAAACGGTATATTTTGTTGATGGATTCCTTTCTCTCATGCACATATTTATAGTGTAAAACGGTTGAAATTTATCAAGTTTTTTGATAATTATAAATTTATAGCTCTTAATAAATTAAATCAAAAACAACTTAACAGTATTTTAACACTTTATTCAAATATGAATCAAATATATGTATATATATGTATTAGATGAGATCATTGAATTAAATTACAAAACAAGATAAATAAAAATCAATAAGTACACATTCATTGTTCAATATGTCCAGTGAACATATTGAACAGGCGGGAACAAATAAATCAAATGTAAATGGAAACATTTTTAATCATTTCAAACAAGAAATATCTTAATTAAACTTATATATATTTATACTGAAATATTTAACTGATTGATAAATTGATTGTTTTTTGTAATTCATTCGAATCAGTATAATTGAATGTTGACGTTAATGCCAATGAAGATTGTTCCTCTTCTGTTACTGCTGTGAACCATGAATTAATTCGATTGGTCATACATGTGGATGCTGTATGAGTCATCATAGGTAAACATGATCCAATCAAATTTGTTGTTTCGATTAATGGATTTATTGATTTAGACAGACAATTGTTCGAATGATCAATAAAAGTTGGTGAAGAGCTAGTTAAAGTGGAACTAAGTGAGTTTGTATATAATGAGTTAGTACTCGTCTGATTATCATTATTATTATTATTATTAATATCACCCATATCAGGAAGTAGTTTCATTTCATGCATTAGAGATAAATTATTGTGAGTAGTATTTCGAAGTAAATGAGTAGTAGGGTTCAATTCTTCATTATTATTAAGTGTAGTAGTGTCGTTATTATTATTACTATTAGTGTTGCCCGCATTACTATTATTATTAGTAGTAGTATTATTATTAATATCATCACATGACTCCATCTTATTCATAATCCCAGTTGAAATGTATTGATCTTCATTAGAGCAAGTGTGTTTGTAATTTTTTCGAGAAAAATAATGTTTATGTGATATTTCATTCAATGTAGTTGAATAAGTTGATGATTTATGCTGATCCATGCTGTGTAAAGAAGTATTCTGATGTTGTTCATGTGGAGACTGTGGAAGAGGATGTTGTTGATGATGATGATGATGATGATGATGCTGTGAATGTTGCGGTTGCATTGAATGTGATTGATGAAGACGTGATGATTCGAAATCATCCAATGAATGAAATTTATTCGGAATTAATGAATCCGCATTCATTGTAATCATTGAAGTTCTATTATTATCATCATCATCATTATCTCCTGAACAATTGTTTAAAGATGACATATTATTACTATTATTATTATAACTATTATTCAATGGTGAGATTAAACAACACGCTGCTGCAGCGGCAGCCATACGTGCTGAATGTAATACATCTTGTGTATAGGCACCATTTGAAAGTGAATAATTCATATTGTTGGATTTATTCTGTGTAAAATGACCATCGTAATCAATTGAATCGGTTGGATATTCTGTTCTATTCAAATTATTATTATTACTATCGTTTACAGTCTCTGCAGTGTTCGTATGCACTGGCTGGTGATTTGATCGAAAATCAATAGGATGTGATGTTAATCTTGACATGTACGATGGTGATGTACACGATGAATAAGGTGTATTAAAATAATTGGTAATATTTGTTGTATGAGGAAATAAATCTGTTGAATTAGGATTCATTGAATGAGTAGAAAAACGAACATTAAAATCATTACGATTATTATTATTATTATTACTACCAAGTTCACTATTATTACTATTACTACTTATTGATGATCCATTAGTAGTAGTATGATTACAATCATTTAAATTAGTAGAATTTTGTGATAATTGTGTAGATGACATTAATAAATTAGAATAATGTGTATTCGCAGTTGATGTTAAATTATAATTGAAATTAATTTGTTTTGATGAATTCATTATACCGCCTAAACCGTGACATACACTTGGTAATAATAATGAGGATAACATTTGTGAATTTGTATTCATTGTATCTGAAGGATTTGGTGAATTGACACCACATGTTGGCGGTTGCATTGCTTGTGCTAATCCAGTAAAATCAAATTTATAAGCATAACGCTTACCATTTATCTGAAAGTTGAAAAAATTGTCATTTTGTTTAAAGAAAATATACACAATTGATACATATGAATTGATGATATATTAGTTATAAACAGTTCATATTTTACAATGAACTGATGGGTGAATCATTGTTAGACTACTATCAGAAACTTGGAAGCATTAAACGGCCGTTTCGTTCCAGTATGGGACTCATCAGACATTGACACCGTTGGATACCAACTCAATGGTCTAGAAGTAAAACATGTGTGAGCAAGACTGAACGTCCTAGATTTGAATGAAACGAGTAGCAGGAGTTGTGGATGAGTACTGATAGTCAGTCCCATACCAGGATGACACGGCCGTCTAGTGCTTCCAGGTTGTTACTGGTGGTAAGTAAGTAGTTATAATAATAATACAATTAATATTTCAAATTAACAGGAAATGATAAGCTTAATTAGAATAACTTAGATTGAAAACGTCTTCATTCAATAACCATAGTTTTGTGCATTGGTTTATTGATCGAATAAATCGACTTTACAATAATTAAAATATCAGAAAGTAGGGTAATTGTTTTAAATATTAGGCAGAAATGGATAATGGCTAGCAGTGGAATTCAGAGTACGTGTTTCGTCTTGTTTTTCACTTGTCATCCGAATGTGCCCATATTTCAGTGTTGATATATACTCTACGACTCGACCTCATCGTCGTTCGTACAAACACTGTCTTCTTATCTATTTATCTACTGAGTTCAGATAACCAGTGATTTATGGAATGAAGTTGAAGTTCAATTTATTAGTATTGGTTGTTTGATTCTGTTCACAGATGTTTTGGATATCGCGATGGTATTTAAAGCGAATGACAGTAAGTTCGAGTCCCGATGTGAACAGCAGCTCTGAGATTCAAGTAAATCAAGCTGACCAGTCTCAAGTAGATTGATTAAAGTCAGGCAGTGACACCGTTGAGTGATGTTTCAGTAGTAAAGGCATTAAGCATTCGCATGCGATACTGAAGGTCTTTGGTTTGGTTTCCGCAAGCGCGGATCGTGGATACGCACTGGTGATGAGTCACACACTAGGACAAAACGGCCGTCCAGTGCTTTCAGGTTTTTAATGGCGGCCAACTGATTCATGATTTCAATAAGATGAAATACTTTCAAACAGAATTCCACTGGTAGAAACAATTTGATTTGAAAACACGCACACATGCAAAAAAGGTATTTCATTCTCATAAACTTACTTTACTCATAATATTTTTATCATAATAATAACGTAATGCACGACTTAGTTTATCATAATTCATATTTGGTTTTGATTTACGTTCACCCCATCGTCTGGCTACTTCATCTGGATCGACTAGCTTGAATTCACCATTTGTTCCTTCCCATGTGATACATGCTAAATTTTTAGAATCTGATAATAATTCTAATAAGAATTGCCATAATTGTATTTGTCCAGAGCCTACAAAATAAAATAAGCAAAAACGTAAACTTCTATATCACTACTAGTTTATCAGATGAAATAAGCAATTTAGTTAACAGAAAACGTAATTTTACTTAAAAAAATGTATACACCTTATCATCAGGCTGCCATTCATAGGACACAAGCAGAGCTTTGACCGTGTTATTTCACATATCTTTTAGTTTTCAAAACATTTTGTTAGGGCCAAACATCCGGATGCGATACTCTTCATTTCAACAGTAATTTCTGAGCAACATACCACTGCATACTACTCATAAACCACATTACTAGTGTTTAACCTCTAACGATTATACACATTGAATATATCGATCAATCATTTTTAGACCACTAACAGGAACCTGGAAGCACTAGACTGCCGTTTCGTGCTAGTATGGGACTCATCAACAGTGCGCATCCATGACTCCTGATACTCGCAGGATTCAAACACTAGACCTCCTGTCTTACGCACGAACGCCTAACTTCTAGACTACTGAGCCGGCATCCATGTCTAACTTTGATCATTCTAAGGATTTTGCTCAACTCCATCCATTGTATTTGATAGTTATTGCCTACACCCGACAGGGTTGAACTCCATTGATCACCAGGACGAAGCGGCCGTCCAGCGCTTCCAGGTTTCTAATGTTAACAATTCATCCATGATTTCTAGGCGAAATTACCATCTCCATAACAGTTTGTTAAAAAAATTGTTTTTGTTTCTCTAAATAAATCAAACATACATAATATTTGTTTATTTAAAACAATAGATTTTTTAAATTTTTCACTTTTTTTACTCCTATGTTTTTCTGATATATTAAGTATTTCATAATTTATATTGTTACATCATTGTTTCAATTTAATGTTCACTATTGTTGCCTGTGTTTTAAACACCACACAATAAAATCAGTGTATAAAGAAAGGTGAGAAATTTTTGTATACCATGAACTTTGTATATTTTATTGGCATTATTATTACTATTATTATTATTATTATTATTATTATTATTATTATTATTATTAATTTGCTACATTAATTTATGATTTCATTAAACCTTCCTAAACAGGAACTAACAATAGAATTGTCCTATATAACATGGAAAACAAGTGCACTCGTGTATACATATGCTTCCAGAGATAGACAGGTATATGTACACATATATATATATGCAAATCAAACTACTGTTTATGAACTCAATATATGTACATATATAAACATAGGGATTTCTGTGATTGTAAATTCCTTCTCTCTATAGTTTTTTTCTTCTAATTCTCCAGAATACGGGTATGAACTTCATTATAAATAGAAAAACACACACTAAATTCCACTTGTTTCAATTTGGAAGAATCAAGGGTTAACTTATTGTTAGCGTGAAAAAAGAAATTTTTGGAGTAATTGAGAGAAAAGACATAGAGAAGGATGTTAAGCATGAAAGAAATTCTCTCTCCAACTATCTTTACCTATGTGCTATGTAATATGTGTGTGTGTTTGTGGGTTTGTGTGTATTCACGAAGAACATCCGGGTTATCGACCCTTATTACCCTTTACAAAATCTGAAAAGTAACAACACAACACAATCCATACGGAGCTGGCTTTCTCCTGATACATAGATAAATAGATAGATAGATGGTATGAATAAATTTCAACCCGTATATAAATATTTTTTTAAATCTGCCTAAACAGATTTTTTAGAATTCCTATGAAAAATGCATTTTTTTAAAAAAAAAATATACTGTTGATGTTTTCACTTGTTGTACGTCAAAAAAGAAAAAAAAATGAGGAAATTCATAAATAGAAGTTTTTTGATGGAAAATATTCAGTCGGACAAGAGAAACTTTTGATTGATCGATAGACGGATAGACAGACAGACACACAGGCAATGATCAATTTATTGATTAGATTAATTTGGATTAATCTCAATCAATCCATGGAAGCTAACGCTACTCAATAAGATTGATTACACATTATGTGAATTTCAAGTTTCATGAATCTAGTTTGAAGAGAAATCTTGACTATGATTCAACTACAGATTGATCCGAAGTCTTTTAATTCTCAAGATATGTGCTTAGCTAAATTATATCACTTGTCTACGCCCTAAAATCCAATAATTTCACTGTATAGTTGAAAACCTTCGTTGGTAAAGTTTAGAATTGTTACTAATGAAGTAATTATCACCGATGGTATTAGCTATTTATCATACTATATTATTGATTGGTTAGATTTTAAAATGTCTATCGAATGTACCAATGAAGTGACTGAATGTTTAAACCTTGTGACAGTGATAATTGGTAATTTTCAATTGAATCCTATGTGGAGTTGTACGTTGATAGTGTTGACGAATTTCATGTTAGGATGAAAAATTTCGTCCTGTACTCTGTGATTTCATTCAAACAGTAATCCTAAATATCATTCATAGACTTCGATGATAAAATTCGTGATCACAATACGCTAAATAAATCCATAATCTTCTCTTAAAATAATAAACAACTACAATTACTTACATTGCGGTCTCCATTGATTTGTACCAAATGTGGAATTGGTTTGTTTAGCATAGAATGTTAAATTTGTATGCTCATAATCATCATTGATATATGTCGATAAGGGAGTTTCATTGTCTTTGGCGAATTTCATCAATTTCGCACTATATTTTATAAATGATTCTTCATCGATACTATTTGTATGCGAATAATTTATTGATTTCTGATTACTTTTATTCTCATCCTGTTCATTAGTGTATTGCTGTAATAAATTATTGAAATGTGATTTACCGCCAGTGCAATGTGTTGTTCTATCAATATTAGTTGATATACTAGTAGTAGTAGGAGTGAATATACTACTTAACTCGAAATTATTACTGTTATTAGTAGTTGAGAAGAAATGCGTTTTATTTGCGCCTGTCATTGACGATGTACTGTTGATAGTCATTGTAACATTTGGATTTATACTGTGATTGATGGAATGATGAACAGTGGTGTTGATATTATTGGTACTACTACTATTATTTATATTAGTAGTATGATTAGTAGCCATAGACGTAGTACTATTGAAAGTAGATCGTTTACGCCTTGGTAATGAATTCAATTCTTTCATATTGTTATGATTACTGTATTGTTTATGATGAGGAATTGATGTACGTGACTTATACTTCAATTCATAATCCTCAGCCGGTGTTGTCGATGTGTACGATCGATTGGGACGATGTGATTTACTATTACTGTAGTTGTTGCTTTTATTCACAACATCACCGACGGAAGTCATTCCTATAGTAGTTGTACACTGTTTACTTTCACCATGATAATTTCCATGGATACGATGATAAACATCGGTGGATAGAATTTCCGGTTTCATATTCATCATAGCATTCATAGTTTGTGAATAAATATTTGTATCGTATAAACTAATCGATGGTAGAGAAAATGTAGTTTTCCCAGGGAATTCTTTATGAATCTCTTCGGTGCTGGGATGAATAGGATTGTGTTTATGATTACAATCAGGTTTATAAGTGTTTTGTTCTATGTTCAATGTATTCGGTAGAAAATCTTCAAATTTGTACTGTTGTTGTGTTTGTAAGGATTGTTGCTGTTGTTGTTGATGCTGTTGCAGTTGATGATGCTGATGCTCACGATGTCTTTGCAGAGGGAACAATCCTTTAGGGTATTTTTTAGACATAGGTGATGTCATTCCCATAAATTTCGGCAATGATATGAAATCATTTTCTCTTGTCGATACATTCATTGTTGAACTGATATTGGTGTTTGTAAGACGATGAGCTTTATTAGCTAATTCTAAAGCCATTGTAACAACTGGATTCTCAGAAATCGATGACAATGTGACCGGTGTCGATGTCAGTGATTGTGTCGAGTTTAATGACGATGACAAAGGTGGCGTTGATGTAGCAATAACTGGAAAAGTATTCGATTTAAATGATGTCATTGGATAATTAATCGGATGATTTATATTCATCCATGTCCATGGATCTAATTGTTGAAATGATTTTGATATATCAGTTCCACTCATTATACTACTATTAGTAGTATTCATAGAGTTTTGTGAAAAAACCATATCTCTATACGAACAATGAGCATCGGATAATCCTTCATTATTTATATATGGTAGAATATTGTTAAACATACTGTTTGTCGACTCTGTAGTCAATCGTGTCTGAGAATCCGATATAGGCATTGCATTCACATCATTCTGTGCCATAGTAATACTTGAAGGTATGTAAAATGCATCTAACTGACTAGTACTATCATTATTACTGCTATTACTATTAGCAGTAATAGTATGATTACTATTATTATGATTATATTGACTAGTTTGATTCGATGAAATCGGTAACAATCCATAATTCACAAATTCTTGCAATGTACTAGCATCTGATGGCAACAAATGTTGGTGTTGTGGTGGTTCTTCACATTGTTCTTGTTGTGGTTGTGGATCGTTTTGATGTGAAAATGTAGGAGGAGGATGATGATGTTGTAGGGAAGCTGGAGGTGGCACTGACAACGACATCGCAGGCGGTTGTGGTGCAGGAGAAAAGGGTGGGGAAGTTTGTAATTGATGGTTCATCAAACTGTTATTAACACTTTGATTATTACCATTATTATTATTATTGTTACAACGTGATTTTTCATATACATCGACAGTATTATTATTATTATTATTATTATTACTGTTGAATGGAAACATCATTGACCAATTTGTTGGTTGTCTTGAACAAAATAGTTGACTATCTGATATATTCATCGTTCTATTAAAAGAAAAAAAGTAGTGAAGGAAACTAATTTATAAGCATGAATTTTTAGATGTTTCTAGAAATTCATTGAAATGACTGATCAAAACTAATATAAAATGGCGTTATTTGAAATTACTTGTTAAGTAAGTGTTGGGGACGTCAGATCCTTAGAACTCATTTGCCAAAAGTTCTAATTTTGGGTTTTCTGTTTTCGATCAGTTGACCTTGAGATTATATTTCTCAACCAGAAAATCCTTGACTGTCATTAGTTGATGTATTATTTTAGTACGCCATTTTTGTAGCTCTCCCTAGGATGTTTATATCATGTATAAATAAAATCAATTTGTGTACTTGTCTACCTCATATTTTCTTGGTGCTTGTAGAATACACTTCCTATTCCTTATCAAGACTTGTTCATCTACTTAATGGTTCCTCGGGACGCTCGGATTAGAGTGACCTTTTGTGTTACTGGGTCATTTGTCTTTGCTCTCGTTTACCGACTAAGTTGAACCCGTAATAACAAAGTTTTAAAAAATATACCGAAAAATTAAAAGCGTTTCAATATAGTGTGTGTGTGTGTCCGAAAGAAACTCCACCCGGAGCCCTTCTACAGTTACTGTCAGTCTTAAATCCAGGTATAAAAGAGAAGGATTAGGTATGGAATGAACAATCCTATCTCATAGAAAGCAAACACTAAAAAATTTTTCAAATCGTGTTTAATAGAGTGAAAGAATTAGAGAAAGTATAATCAATAAGCTTCATCTTAAATAATACTGTGGTGCGCGCTACTTATAAGTAGTATATGACGCGAGTGTAAACGTAATGTCTGACAGCAGAAGATGGGGGAAGATCAAGAAAGGAAGAGTGGGAACACAATGGAATTTGTATGAAACGCATGAATAGTGAAATGTCAGACAATGGATTGATGATGGATTGAAGATTTGCAAATTAACGGTTACGACATGGTTTTCCTATTTTACTGAGTAACTCTGTAATTTTCGTTAAATACAATTCGGTTGCCCTCACCTGTGTTCTCTTGCACTACAATACTAATTCACAAAGACATTCTTTCATTATACAAACAAATTTATACTTTACAATTGAACATGAAATTAATTAACTGAATAAGAAAAATTAGACTGTGATTGTCATAAGATTAACGAAGTGAGTGTTGAGCTACAATTTAAATCAATATTGTTTTGATCGGTTAGAATTGCTGTTACAACACACTGATGATTGTAATTTAATTTTAGGTAGAAAAAATTTATGATGTGGCAATCCAATATAACTGACATTTTTTGGCTACTGTGATATATATATATATTCAGTTCTATTATATGAAGTGGAAACTTGGAGAATCATGAAAGCTATTATGCAGAAGATATAGGTGTTTATTAACAATTGTCTATGCATGATACTGTGGATCTTTTGGCCAGACACCATTGATAATAACCTACGGTGGGAGGGAACAAACCAGATTCCTATAGATAAGAAAGAAATTAGGAAATGACACTGGAGGTGGATAGGACACATAATGCGGAAAGCATCCAGTTGCGTCAAAACGCAAGCCCTAACTTGAAGTCCCTAACTTCAAAGGAAAAGAGGAAGCCCATGCAGGAAAGTTACGCTAGGAAATGGAGACAAGCATGAAAAAAATGAACGGTGGCTGGGTGGAACTGGAAAAGGAGATCCAGGACAGAGTAGATTAGAGAATGCTCGTCAGCGGCTTATACTTCATTGAGGTTAACAAGTGTAACAAAGTAATTAACTATATATATTCTATGATATTTATTGAATTCAGGAAGTTAATTTTTTTGGAATAGGAAAAATCCCATCTTATCTCTTCTTAATTACGTGTAGCTATTACTATTCTGTTGTACTGTTGGTACACTGTGTTTTATAGTTTGACCTATTTAAGTAAGTAGGTTATACCATCAATTCTTAAAAGGAATATATTCCATTTTTTAGGGTCTTTATTTTAAATCTGTCATAAATATGATACGTAAACTAAATATGTTCGTAGATTTTTGAAATCAGGAGACGCAAAAGCATTCACTATGTTAAAATCTATATTAGCTAAATTTATGCATGGTACACATTTGAAATCATCAATCAATCATTGTTAGACCACCTGGAACAGCCGTTTCGTCTTGGTATGGGACACCAAAGGCAAATGGGTGAGGTCGTGTAAAATCCCTAGATCAATCAGAGTTAGACATTAACACAAGTGGATGCTGACTAGCCCAGTGGTCCGGAAGTTGGGCGTTAGCGCTCAAAAACCGGTCCCGGGTTCGAATCCTGTGAGGTTCAGGAGTCGTGGATGCGCACTGCCGATGAGTCCCATACCAGAACGAAATGGCCATCCAATGCTTCCAGCTTTCCAATGGTGGTTTAACAATGATTGATTGATGATTTAAAATGTGTAGAAACACTAATATCCATAACTAGAATTGAAAAATTTTTCTGTATATATTCACAATCACAACAACAATAATAGAAAAATATTGTGTAAAAATTGATTTTAATATTCAAGTTTTAAATTATTGACTCAAAAGTGTTTGATTTCAATATATAGAGTGGTATAAAGAAGTTAAACATTGTGTACTGAGTAAACTGATTGATCCATTTTTTAGCAGTTGGTTTAATATTTAATCCGACGAGTCACAAATAAAACGAAACATGCATCTTGGATTACAATGCTAACTGTCAAACATCTCCACTGACAAAGATCTAATCAAAGTGATGGGCATTAGATTCATAAAGTGATAACTTTTTCATCCTAATTTCATAGTTCTGTGTAGCATATACCTACAGTACTTTAACATACAGAATTAAATTCATTATATCTAATGAAAATTGAACATTTAATTTCCAATACGTAAGTAATAACCGAATTTTGACTGAATTGAAATGACAAATCTAAGTGAAAATATGTTGTCAAATGTTATCGAATTTTCAATGACTCAGCATATGACATCATTTTGTGTAGAAATCAATATTCACATGAACATCTGTTTATATTTACTACTTAGGATATGATGAGCAATGACTAAATCGATTGAAAAAATGAACTTAAACATCCATCTGTGATATGTAATCACATTTTTAGAAGTAACAATTTTATGACATTATATTGGGGCACAGTTTTGGAGGTTTGCGTTTTTACACATTTGAAATCATTAATCAATCATCATTGTTAGACCACCATTAGAAACCTGGAAGCACTGGACGGCCGTTTCGTCCTAGTATGGGACTCCTCAGCAGTGCGCATCCACGACTCCTGCTCCTCGCAGGATTCGAACCCGGGACCTTTGGCATTGTAGGCGAACGCCTTACCATCGGACCACTGGGCCGGCATCCAACGGTGTTAATGTCTAACTCTGATTGATCTAGGGATTTTGCGCGACCTCACCGATGGTAAGGCGTTCGCCTACAATGCCAAAGGTCCCGGGTTCGAATCCTGCGAGGAGCAGGAGTCGTGGATGCGCACTGCTGAGGAGTCCCATACTAGGACGAAACGGCCGTCCAGTGCTTCCAGGTTTCTAATGGTGGTCTAACAATGATGATTGATTAATGATTTCAAATGTGTAAAAAAATTTTATGACAGTCAATTAATTACACCTGTGTATAAATGCACCACATTAAAGTATCATGAATATGTATTCACAGCGTAATTTATTAATTAATTCAATTTAGACAGTAGCCTTTGCGTTGGTGTTTCGTTTTCTGAGCTGGATGTTTTAGTCGAGGGAGCTTTCAGTGTTATTCTTCTGAACAACAGACTCATCATCAGCGGAACAAACTTCAGATAGAAAGAAGTGAAGTATTCGGATTTCTCCACATCTGACCAGTGTCTTGTTCTGTTAACCTCGATCTTAATTGGTTGCTTTTGACTTTAAACATGCCGTTGGTTGTACCTTTGATTTGATCCAGCTCTGAAAATGAAACACCGTCACAATCATCCATGTGAGCTACAAATTTTCTCCACTATCACTGTTGAATGCCCGCTTAGTGGTAAGGAGGAAGGTAAGTGTTCGCACGTGAAATTGAAAGTCCTATGTTCGATCTTTGAGTATGGTGTCACGAATCCACACTACTGATGAGTTTTATACTACGACGAAACAGTCATTCATTTCAAAAATAGATCGATTTATGATTTCAATAAAAACTTAACATTCTCCATAACTCCATAACACTTGTTACTCTGTTGATGTTAAACATTACTCTCAATTCAGTTTATAATAACTGACATTACAAAACTGATTTAAAATATAGCATATTCATATGAGTAATAGTCTTAGTGTTTTATTATTCTTATTAAGTGTCATTGAAGTAGTTGGTTTCAGCGATAAACATAAGTCAATCAAGCGATTTCGCAAACAACAGTGATAGGACTTTGATTCTGGAAAACAAAATCATAAATATCGTCATAAATGCCTACATATCCTCACACTTAAATTTTAAATATGAATACTGAATTTTTGAGTCATACAGAGATATTTACACAATATTTTGTTTTATAAGCATACAATTTCCAATGGATCAAACTACTGATAAAACATAATAGTAGTACTATACAAATAATCAAAGTTTTCAAATGAACAATGGCTGTTGTAAATAAGTGGTTGTATTTAATTTTGCATAACAAAATTTATTTTAAAGATTCAACTGACTAGATCCGTTTGCAATAAAACAAAATTCAAAATCTTTGACATAATCATTGATAATCAAATGTTGTTTTTTTTTAATAAATTCAGGTATCAGTTGTAAATGAAAATTGGGCATATACTACACTGCATTTGTTCATTGATTATTTAGACTACATTGAAAATCCCAGTTGTATACAGTATAGATAATAGAAATTACGTAACACCTGTAATTATGGTTTATTGATTTAGATCAGAGGATGTACGCATGAATAAAATGTAAATACTCATCGCAGAGGCATTATTTCTGGTTTCAACAACTGATTAGTATCATTAACTCATACAATACAAATATTATCGAATAC